GTTTTTTTTTTTTTTTTTTTTGTGCAAAAAGATTTGTATTTGAGTACCTAGGACAGATGGCATGACCCTTGCCGTTCGGCAAGGCTTGAGTGCATCGGGTTTGAGCTTGGGGTGGGTAAAGAGATGTGGGCCTGCTTTCTTTTTCCATGGTCCTTGCTGTTAGGCAAGGCACCAAATTATCTTGTGGTAACGGTTTACAGGGTCTGGGCCCTAGATGAGCTTTGGCAGGTTTTGAAAAATAAAGGGCTAGGTTAGGGTTTTGGAATTGTGAGGAGAGTACAAAGGCTTCAGCAAGGAGAGGCTGGCGCCGTGTGCAAGTGTCCTCAACAAGTGCCTTCCGAAAGCTTCAGACTTGGTGAGTATTTGGGGAAAAATCTCTGAAGCTAGTTTCGGAAATCTGAGCATCTCCTTTCCTTCGGCAAGGCCCTTGAGCTGGGCTTTGTGAGCTGAGCCTTCGGCAACTCTGCGGAGTCGGCGTGAGTTTGGGGCTGGGCTTCGAGGCAACAGTTCGCGATTCCTCCTGGCTTCTGCTCGGCCCTTACCGTTCGGCAAGGGCTAGAATAGGAAAATTGGTGCCGTGAGGTTTCAAATGCTTTTGCAAGAGCTGGGGTGTCTTTGGCAAGAGCAGGGCTGCAAAAATCCTTCGGCGGGGCGTTTGTTAAGCCGTGTACTTGTGCCGCACAGCCCTTGCCGAACGGCAAGGGTCATTTGGAAAGTTTCGGGGGGCCTCTTCATTGTCCTTGGCTTCAATAAGGAGTTGGCGTGGAGGCAAGAGTGAGATCACGTCTGCCAATTGGCAAAGGCTTTGCCAATGGGTTTGGAGGCTGGGAAGGTGTCTTCAAGCTCCGGCGTCATCTTACTGAATCAGTTGGGTGTTCGCAGAGGTGTCGTAGTTCACTTGCCGATCGGCAAGGGTGTTGCCAATGTTTTTGGCGGTTGGAATGGGGCTGTTCGCATGATCTATAGTTGGCCTTTGGTCGACGGCCTACCGTTCGATAGGTGCGGTGCAGATGGTTTGGGAGCTCTCGCAGGTCTGCTTTGGTGTGTTTTGGGGCTGGCCTCACGATGGGCGCCCCTGGAGCTTCTGCACGACCCTTGCCGTTCCGCAAGGGTGGATTGAGTAAATTTTGGGGCCGAGTTTGTGAAGATTGGCGAGAATTTGGAGCTGGGGAAGTTGAGAGGACTTCGTAAATTCAATTTTGGAGAAATTTTGGAGCAATTGCCGAGGATGGAGTCTATTGGCTCAATTATCCTGATTTGCCGAACGGTAAGACAAGTGAGGATAGTTGTTGTGGTGGCTTGAGAGGCTTTGACGGAGTGAGAGCTTGATGCTGTATGTACAATATGTTGAACTCCTTCTCTTTCCTCTATTGAAGACATCATGGGTGTAGAGAAAAATCTTATATTGGATGCCGAACGGTACTCTTGTATCCTCGATATGCATGTGGGGTTGGGTGTCGTCCCTAATCCTTGAGGTGCTGTTTGGCAAGCTTTGGTTTTCCAGCCAGGAGCTTTCTGAAGCTTTTGCAGAAGTCAAGTCCCCCTGTTCGTGAGTTTGGATAAGGGCTGTTGTATGGTACTAGGCAAAATTTTGGAGGTGGTGGGCTCTTAAGGCTCTTGGGAGCCTTGAGCGATCTCTGCATGGGTGTGCCGTTCAGTATAGTGACCTTTCATGCAGTTGCCGATCGGTAGGAATCGTGGAGAAGGGGAGAGGTGTCGCATGCACGGAGGTCGCACGGCCCTTGCCTTTGGCAAGGTGGGTTGTGAGCATTCTTTCCACAAGCTTCCATCGCCTGGGCTCTCCGAAAGAAGGCTGGGCTGTTGGCGCTTGGTCTCCTATACTGTTGTAAAGAGCCTGGGTTAGCCAAGCAAGGGTGTTGTGACCCCTAAATTTTCAGAGTTCCCCCATTTTTCCTTCTGCATGGCCCTTGCCATTCGGCAAGGGTATGTTGGGAGTATTTTTCTTCTTATATATATATATATATATATATATATATTTCAGGTTTGGTATGGCATCTATTGCACAGCCATTCAGCAAGGGAGGTTTGGGACTTTTTGTTTTTAGAGAAGAGTCTCTGGGGGCTGGTCCTCAAGAAGGAGTCATTCTTGAGAATCAGTCATTTGGCGAAAGAAGACCGAGGGTTTTAGGAGGGTGCGAGATCTGGCGCCGTCTATTTGTCTAGAACAGGGCTTGACTTCAGCAAGTGTCCGTATTGGAACGAGCTGGAGCCTTTGATGTCGTCGTCGACTTGGGGGCCTTGCGATTGTCGGAGATTGTGTGGGTGCTCGTATCCGTCATTTGCTGTGGGTGCAGATGCCTTGGTATGGTGAGTCTTCAAATATGAGATAATCTGATAGGGCAGACTTTTATTGCAAACTTTTATGAGATAAAAATTTCTCTTCATGTTTTATTGAATTGCCGAATGGCAATTGGCAAGTGTTGAAAGGTAGCTCATGAATAATAAGCAAGGTGGAGATGTCTTTGGTTGGCTTGAAGGATGAGGTGAGGAACGACACTTTGAGCTTTGCAACCTTTGCATTTGTTGACGCCAAAAAGTAGTTCTCTGACTTTTAGGGTCAACTTAGTAATTTAATGCCTTCGGTGTAACAACCCAAACCTTAATTAATTTTTAATTAATAATTTAATAGAGGGAAAGACTAGTATACCCTTAGAATATTTTATTAGGTTTTAAGTTGACCTTTTGACCGGAGAAGAATTTGGAGTTTCTGCTTGTACCGTTGCGTAGAGTACGACGAAACGAGTCCGTAGACACGTAGTGGACTCGAATCGGACTTGTAACGAAGAAGATACAAGCAAATTAAGTTGATGGGGCAAATTGGTAATTTGACAAGCCAGATTTTTTAAAAAAAATCTGTTATCTTCTTCTCTCCCCCATTCGAACAGACCAGCCCCCTTTTATTCTTCTCTCTTCCAGCCACCTCCAAACCACCATAACCACCATCACACCCCACCCCAACCCACCAGACCG